AGCTAACTCATCTGGCTACAACTTTGATTCAGTATCATTCTCCAATTCGATCACTTTCTATGCCAAAAATAGGTCTCAATATGAGATTAAAACATCGGAGCATAACTTTTCGGTTGGAAATTGATTTGTAATCATCTTTTAACTAAATTTGATTCCATTGACGTCTTCATTTATCCAATTGACTCTAAACACTCTCAAACCTTCATCGTAAGGTTCGGCACAACTTTTAAGTATTTACATTTTAGTTCTCGAACTTGGATCCCTTACAATTTAGTCATTTCTCCAAATTTGTCAACTTTTACTTATTTTCTTCGATCTCATCAACTTACATCACAACATGAAAATCACACATCTAATTATTTATCAATTATATAAACATTACATCATTTATTATTTAATTAACCAAAAAAATTACATCTTTATTAATAACAAATTAATTCGTAAACAAAACTATTGAATATAAACTAGGCAAACGTGCATTGCACGTTGCTTGCATCTAGTATGTGTGTGTGTGTGTATATATATATATATAATAACAGTTTATTAAATAAAATAAATAAGACCAATTTATTTCACTTAAAAAAAAACATAGCATGTGCCTACTACTATCCCGATTGTTAGAACCGTTCCCGATCGTAAAGTCCTATCGATTTGAAATCAATCCTAGAATATGAGATTCTAGGTTCAATTCAGATCGTTTTGGTCATTTCAGATCATAGGGTCGTAAGAATCAAATTTCGATTTTAACAATCTTGGACCCTAGTGTGAAATTAATAAAGTTAGTTAGAAATTAAATATAATGGAATATCTTTGATTCATTTTATTTGAAGAGAGTGCGAGTAAATATATTTTATTTTATTTGTCTTTTATATCTTCTATATATTAAAAGTGGCTATCTAACGGAATTTCTTGTTTTTAACGGAAAAACTAACGGAATTTGTTGTTTTAACGGACTATGTAACGGAATTTCTTATTTTAAACAGGCAGCTACACCTTCTTTCAGTGTTTTTATCATAACTTTGTATTTTTGGCCGGGCCCGGCTCGGCTCAGCTTGGTCCAAAAAAGCTCAGCTCAGCTCATTAAAAAATTCTATAGGGAAAATTCTAATGGGTGAAAATGAGTTCTATAAATATGTTACACAAATTGGCTCATTAAAAACCTTGTCAGAAAATCTATTGGAACAAAATGTTGATCAAGGGAAAAAGAGTGCAACGTATATATACTCCTTAGTGATATTTGAGTTTTTATTTATTAGTTAGTTCTCAAATGTTGTAATAGATAACATCTATGTGAACATATCGCCACATAAATCATCATGATAGCCAGATATAAATATATAAAATGATTGATGACCTTCGTTGATAAAATAATGCCCTATATTATCATAACTAACTACTCCGAAATTATGAACTACGGTATTTTAAGATCGATAAGTATTCACTATCACATCAAGGATCAAATGATTGCAGTCTTTTCACTTCAAGTGATAAATAATCATCGAGATCAAATGAGTGTATCATTTTTTTCATGTAAAATATTTTAAGGACTTTGTTTTCATAAGTTGCATGATGAACAATATTTATTATTGGATAAATGTTGGATCTTTCATAATGAATTTCTTTTTAATGTAATCAATTGGCTTTTGGAAGCTCTTTAGGAGTTTCAGTAATATATAAATCATAAAAAACATTGACGGCAAATCTAGATATTGATTTATAACACACGAGCTAAGGTCAATCTTGTACCTATTTTTCAACAAATAATTATTAAAATGATCGTCCTGCATAATTTCAAATTGCAAAATTTCTATGTACTTTTACCTAACAAGTTCCTTGAAAATTTAAATTATATGATTCGGTCATATTAAGGACGTGTCTGGTGCTGATTCTTTATCAGCTTAAAATTGAAACATTGAGCCAAGGTAGACCCCACCTCTTTCGTCGGTAAAATACATTTAAATGAATTATCTTTCGAACTTCTAATTCAAATAGTCTTGTACAAGGATTTAAATAATATAATAAAGCATTTTTTTAGCACATAATTTTTCTTTCACGAGTACCTATAAGAACATTTTCAGAAGACCCTATTTTTAAAGAGCGTATTTTACAATTTAGAGAGTGGAGATTTTTAAATACTCCAATAGCCTCTCTATCTTTAACACTTAATTTTACTATTTTCAATATGTATTTATTATTTTTTACTATCTTTTATTTTTATCAACTTCCCTCCAAATTTATATTATTTCAATCTATTTTCTCCGTATATACTATTTGGTTGAGTCAATAGATGGAGCATTGAAAGTTGAAATATTTTGAATGAATTTGATTAATTAGGGAGTGGGTTTTGACTCTCCAAATTTGGAAAAAGAGCCAAACTCACTCTCTACTTTAAAATGTTAATTTAAATAGTTTCTTAGGACATAATTTTAAAGTAAAAAATATTTTACTTTTAAACAGCCTCTTGGAGATGATCTAATAAGAGTAAAATGGTGTCTTCAAAAGCACAGTGATCGTAACATCTTTGTTGCAATATGCTATACAATAACCTCTAGTTCCTTGTGCTTTCCTTCATGCAGCAGTTAAAATTTAGAGTGTGTTTGAACTCCATTTTTTTTGAAAGTACGGGTTTTTTAATAGTAATTTTTTGAAAACTATGTGGTTAAAAATTAATGAAAAGTTTGAGTTTACGTTTAAAGTTAGTTTATTGAAAAATTGTGGTTAAAAATAAATTTGAAGAAAATATTTTTTTTATAATGAGACTCAAACATGAGCTTAATATAATTCTCGTATGGTTGATAACTAGCTCGGATGAGTTTTTTCATTTTAGTCGTAACTTCATTTTACTTAAATTAAATCACCTAATTTCGACACAATTACTAACACATTCCTCTTCTTGTAGAAAAGTAATAATTTGACCTTGTTTGGTAGAGACTAAAATCAGATTTTTGTAGATTTTGATAAAATTTGATAAAATATGTGATTGAAAAGTTGTAAAAACCCATAAAATATATTGTTAAAATTTATTGTTGACTTTAACTTATATTAAAATTTAAATTTTAATGCCTATCAAACAGAGGCATATATTCACATGAAAATTCCCATAGGTAAAAGTGCTACTCGCTAAGCGACATTTTTTTCTATGGATAGCTTACTACTAAGCTCATGTCTGATTTTTATTTTTATTTTTTTGAGATGTAAAAAGTAATTTTTTGAAGAAGGTATGATTAAAAATGAGGGAAAAAAAATGAATTTATGTGTAAATTTATTTTTTTATAATTTTTTTTTTTAGGAGAATATATAGTTGAAAATAAGTTTTAAAAAAAATTAAAATTAAACAGACTAATAAACGATAAAATTTTCAATTTTCGCTTAATCATACATGACCCAACATATGATAAAGGTCTTTCATTATTCTTAGTTGATGATTAGATATTAGCACATAGAAAGACCTATATCATATGTTGGGTCATCGTGATTAGGTGGCACATTACATTACTGGGTAGTTTGCATGCCACCTAAGTATGGTGCTCTCATATCTTCTATATATTAAAAGTGGTTATACAACGGAATTTTTTGTTTTTAATGAAAAAATTAAGGGAATTTGTTATTTTAACGGATTATGTAACAGAATTTCTTGTTTTAAATAGGCAGCTGCACCTTCTTTCAGTATTTTTATCATAAATTTGTATTCCGATGTCCGATTGAGGCGATTCAAAATGCGTTGGAAAGCTAACCCATCTGGCTACAACTTTGATTCAGATATCATTCTCCAATTCGACCACTTCTATGCCAAAAATAGGTCTCAATATGAAATTAAAACATCGGAGCATAACTCAATGACTATTGCATGTTGTTAACCCAACGTACTTGCTATATAAAGTTAACAGTTGGCTCAAAATTATATATAATATGGAACTTTACCAATACATACAAATATTCATTTAAATGAGTCATTCGTGTGCAGTTCACTTTTAAACAGTTAGAACTATGTCACGAAGGAGTGGATTGTAAGACTCCATGACTATTGCACGCGGTTAACCCAACATATTTGCTATACAGAATTAACAATTGGCTCAAAATTATATATAGCCCCTATTTGTTATACATTCTTTCAAAATATATTTTTTTAAAACTTATTTTCAACCACACATTTTTCGATTAAATAATTTGTTCAATCACATCAATAACTTTCCCTTATTTTTTTAACTATGTATTTCCTATCATATCACTATTTAAAATACATTATTTTCTCAATAATATCCATCAAACACACTTGTAATATGGAATTTTACCAATAAATACAAATACTCGTTTAAATTAGTCATTCATGTGCAATTCACTTTTAAACAGATCGTCGAGTTTGAATAAAATTTACTTCCATTTCATAAGTTAATATGAATATCTTTAGTTTGATTTCTATATATAATAATTCAATTTTAAACTAAGAATGTGATAGATTGCTCTCATTTTCTTAAGTTCACACAAAGTCTACAATGGTCAATGAGGAGGCAAAGCATGAATTACTAATTTCAGTGCCATTCACGTCAATTTCTCTTATTGCCAAGCGCAGCATGCAACAGGCGAGTGCAAGCCCAATTGTCAGTAAATATAAGTTGCTGCCAGAGTCCATTTAGCACATTGATGATTGAATACAACTAGGATTTCACAATCTACCTACAATCGGTTTTACAAACCAATCAGAAAGGGAAAAGAAATAACAAGAATTGCACACAAGATATAAGGGATTTCCTTTCCTTTCCTTTCAATGCAACTGAGTTATACAGCGAGTTGAACTCACTCACAACTCACATTTGAATAAATATGCAAACCAACCAACGGCTACTCCGAACAAACTACTTTTTGAACATTTCACATAGTACCACAAGGTCCATATCCACAGTTTCCCTCCAAATATTGTCACCCAACAGTTTATACCAGTTTGAAAATTTCTAGTTCCCACCGTTTTACCCAGGAATAAACAAAACCTACCATACCCATAATTACTTGTGCTTCTTCGTCTCTTCATCATCCTCATCCTCATCCTCATCATTATCTTCGTCTCTGTTTCTCTTTCGAGAAGAAGACGTTGGGAGCTCTTGGACTGAACCGTCTCTGTCATCTTCATCGCTGATATCTTCTTCCTTTCCAGCATCTTCACCTTCATTTCCTAGGTCCAAGCGACTACCATCAGCATCTACCTTTACTTGACCTACAGGTTGAATAAGGTACCCTGTGCCATTATCTTCGTCCTGCCATTAAACAAAACTCATTTCAGTTTGAATAACCAGGAAGAAAAACAGAAGGCAGCTAGAATTCTCAGTACACCACAGAAAGAAAAGAACACCTTTAAACTTGCTGCAATTTCTTGAAGAACAATCACAGAAATTTCACAAGAATTCAAATACTAACAAATCAAATTCTAACAGGACTGCAGATTCCGGCATTTTAATTTTGAGTATGTTAAGAAAAAACCTAAAGGACGGAATGTATGCAAAACAATGAGGGGTCTCCGAGCTACCGTCCTAGAAATCATGCACCAAACATTAAAAAAATACGCTCAGAAACACTGGCCATTAAAACAACAGACATTTTCAACATACTAATCATAAAACACATTACATGACAAAGTTCATTATATCAGATAACTTGTGAGGAAAAAATTAAGGAAACATAGTAATCAGAAAACACATTACATGACAAAGTTCATCATATCATAACTTGTGAGGAAAAAACTAAGGAGACTCCACCAAAAATAATTTACACACAGCAGAACATCAATGCACGCACTGTAACATTTCATTTCTCTAAAACTACCAATAATACGCACACCAAGGTGCATTCACTGTAAAACTCAAAATTTGTACTACAAATGCTTATTAAACAATTTAGATTACGACATGCGAACTAGCACATGCAACTAATATTTACCATTACTTGTGTATCAAAAAAAGCTAGTATGATAATTCACATTTTTTAGCCCATAAAAGTGCATGTGGAATCAGATGCTCAATTGATAAAAATTCAAAACATGGGCATGTAATCCGATCAGCAAGATCATGTATATAATACATGTCCAGAACCCCAAACCAATAAATCACTAAATAAGGACATTATAATCACAATAATAAATGGATCATCACCTCATCTTCATCCTCAAAGTCTCCATCCTCCTCATTGTCCAGATCTTCCTCTCCCATCTCTCCATTATCATCATTGTCACCCTGCTTGGGACCATCAATCTCTCCTTCCACACTTATCAACCTCCTGTTACTATCGGGCTCCTCAAAATTGCCCTCATCATTATCTACCTCTTCATCATCATCCTCGTCATCCTCCACCCCATCCTCGTCATCACTACTGTCATCTATCTCATGGACCTCCACCACATCATCCTCCTCATCCTCACCCTCATCTTCTTCATATATCTCTTCCACTGAATCATCATCTTCCTCACTCTCATCACCCTCATCCTCCACCCTAAACCCATTTGAGAGATGATGGGAATTGCTTGCTCCAATTAATCCATTAACCCCTCTAGAAGTCTCAGTTACCTCCTCATCTGCATCACTTTCCTCATCCTCATCAACATCAATAACCCCATCGTTCCTAGTTAGATACCCATTACCCAACCTAAATGGCCAATTCTCCCCTTCAATTTCCCCGCTCCCAGCATCATCCTCATCGTCGTTGTTATCCTCCTCCTCATCATCCAACTCAGGCCTTTCATTGCCCTCATCGTCCTCATCCTCAACCTCATCCTCATCATCCAACTCAGGCCTCTCATTCCCCTCGGCGTCCTCATCCTCGTCATCCAACTCAGGTCTCTCATTCCCCTCGGCATCCTCATCCGCATCCTCGTCCTCATCATCCGACTCAAGCCTCTCATTCCCCTCTGCGTCCATCTTATCCAAGTACTTTAAAGAGCTAATCAACTCAAAAGCCCGCGACCTATAGTCCTTAACCCGCGTAACCGGGCACTCATAAAGATCCAGTGACACCAGCCTAAGCTCCGCCAAAGGCTTCAAATCATTAACATCCGAAATCCTGTTATTTGACAAATCAAGGTCCCGCAGAAATTCTAATCCCGCCTCAACAAGGAATTCAAGGCCTCCAGCAATCCTATTATCGGATAGCACCAACGTCTGCAAATTCCGAAGCCGAGGAAACTGCTCAAGAGATGAAAGGCCAATATTCGCTATAGAAAGATGCTGGAGGTTGCTAAACTTCTCGAAAATTAACGGCGTCGGTAGCCGGCCGTGAACGCACTTCGCCGCTCCGTCAAGGGTTAACGTCCGGACAGACGCGACGTCGCTTTCGCCGTCTAATGCCGTCTCCACTGCCCTTTCCCAGATCTCATCCATTAATCCACCAACTCCTTTTCTATAGATGCATACATATACTTATAATTATCTTCTGAATTACATTAAAAAAATAAAAAATCTACAGATAACTTATAAGTGATAATTTTTCTTATGAGATTTTGCTGGTGGAAAGCTTAAAACCCAAAATTAATTGTTTCTCTCTCTAGAGTTTTATCTCTCTAGAACTTTCTGCGCGCTGTGTAGATAATGTGGAGGCGACTGGTGAGTCGAGTCCGAGTTAGGGTTGAGTTAAGTTTGGCCGGGTAGCACTATATACGAAGTAAGTAAAATGTGTGTTTGTTGTGATAGCCACTGGAAGCCGTTCGATTAGAAAGGTCCGGATTAATGACATGGAAGGAGATGAATGGTAGAGATTGGTAGATTGTGTGTTTGTTTGGGAGGTTACATTGACATATGTACCATGAACATTGATGTATATTACGTTAGTGCCACAGACTGTGACCTGACTACGAGACAAATAGCTAGTGGTGGCAAATGGCCGGCAGGCCATGCTCGATTCGGCCGATCCACGAGCCTTATTTATTTATTTTGTTTATACAGAATTAAAACAAAAATAAAGAAAACATTAAAGGGGTAGTTACAAAAATATCCTTAAAATTAGAAATATTTTAAAAAATCATGTGAAAAGTTTTTAGGAAATAAAAAATATTATGTAAAATAAAAAAATGACACAATGTCACTTTTTTTTTTATAAAAATTGACACTTTTTAAAAAAAATTTAAAAAAAAGTGACACTAACTCAAAAAAGTGACAAATACTAAAATAACACCATTCAATTGTACAGCTCCAGTAATGGATTTTGATGTATACAACTTTGTTAAAAAATGATTTGTCGTGTGTATGTGCTAATGGATATCATACTCTATTGACATTGGATCTACAGTTACTTAATAAATCAACTAGGTTCTAGCATCCTCCGTTGAGCCTTTCAGTATGAATACAAAATAACAAACGACTTGTCACGTCAATTTTTAACAAAAAAGCGACGTTGAAAAGTGACGCAACGTCCCTTTTTTGATAAAAAGGTGACATTATGTCACTTTTTTTAACATACAAGAATCTAACATGTTAAAACCTACAAATATGTTATAGTTAGGTAACATATTACAATTCTTGAACACTAGTACTAATATTGATCAACTACATCAATAATATCCCTGTTCCAATGACATTGTAAAGAAAATATGTTCAAAACTTCACAAAAACACATCTTTAGAAACTATACTTAAATAACAGTCACTTTTCTTAAAAAAGTGACATTATGTCACTTTTTGTTTTCAAGCTGCTAACATGTAAAGTGACAATGTCACTTTTTGTTAAAAAGGTGACATACAAGCTGCTAACATGTTAAGTACTAATACTAATATTGATAAGTCACATCACCAGTATCACTGTTCCATTGATATTATAAAAAAAACATGTTCAAATTTCAAAAATTAACAATTGAAGCAGTGCTACCACTGTTAACATTGTCATTTTTTGTTAAATCGATCATTACATACAAGACTAAAATTACCAACCAACTTATGTGCATCCAAAAAGTATTCTAACAACTAAATCAGTCAGTACATAACAAGATATGTCTTCACTTCTTCATAATCATCTTCTTCTCTATCACATGACAATATCACTAATCCATTTCCTTTGACACTCATTCATTATATGTATCATATTTCCTTCAAATTAATAAAGGCACCAAAGCATGTATTCTTAAATAAAGTCCTCTGATATAGACTAAAATTTTCATTTAAGTCCGTTATCACCTTGTGTGGAGATAATAATGTCACTTTTCCTTTGAACCAACATGCTTGAGGGATAATAAATTTCAATCCTACAAAAAGAAAAAAAGATACAATTAAAATGAAATTCAACAACAATAACATGCATTATGAAAGTCTATAACATACACGTTTGTAACTTGTTATAATGACTGGAACATCTTTTTAATAGACAACAATTAAATCCAGCAATTAAAAGTGTGCACACACTCAAAAAAGTGATAATAAATAAAAAAAGAATAATAAAATTAAAAAAAAGTGACTCAAAAGGTTGTAGTACACTGGTTTAACAATATCTATCGGAACAAATACAAGAATTGAGACTTACTTACATTTCACCTATCACCACCAAAAAATTAAAGAANTTACATTTCACCTATCACCACCAAAAAATTAAAGAATTCAACAATCAAAAAGTGGCATAAATTATAGATTAACAAATAAATGCTTATGGAAAGTGACACAGAATAAAAAAAGTGACAAACATCAGTGAAGACTCTTGAATAATTTCAGCAGAAGCTATTACCAATTTAAAAAATGACAATGTTCAATGATCAGTCTCTTTTTATCAAACAAAACTTCAAATTTGGTTCTGCAGAAGCTATTACCAATTTAAAGGAAGCCATTACTATTTTAAGACAAAAATCAAGACAATATAACTAATGTTCACAACATAGGTACAGTATTAATGTTTCACATAACAATGGGGAAGAGTTTGAAATTATTACCATAGATTTTTTTCATTTTTTAAGCAGAAGCATTGAGGTTTTTCTAATAAATGATAACTTAATTTTAAGCTATACGCTGATGCAAAACTGCTAAAGAAAGTCTAAATTATAACATTTGGAGGGAATCCATATATATGCATCCAGAACAAAACTAGCACCATTAAGCAATAACCAACTTAGAACCTGTAGATTCATAAAAAAACATAGATTCTGAAACCCTAAACACCAAGAAAATTGTTCACCAAAATTTTGCTACCTTAGGTTTATAAGAGTACGAAGAAATTTTATTCCTCTTCTTAGTCAATGGTTCTTCTTCTAGATTTCTTTGCCTTTTCGAGCCACTTTTTTCAGCTATTGCAAAAATATGAGTCAATAATCAGAATCAAAATCAGATTTCTGGATTTCGGATCTAGGGTTTACGCTATTTGGGGTTTAGAGCTGAAACGAAAAATAGATAATGAAGCCGAATGGAATACGAAGGGAAGATGAAGAAGGAATCGACGGAAAATGGGTCAAAATGGAGATTTAAAGTAGGATTT